CGGGCCGGCCCTGTAAAGCTTGCTGTGAGGAGACTGGAGGCCACGCAGACCCCCGCATGAGCCAGGCTGAGGGGCCCAGCAGCGTGTCAAGAGGTGGAACACCCCTCTCGCCAACAGCCTCTGCGCAGACGGCACCCCCAAGCCACTACCAACCGCTGCTGCGTCCCCTCTTCACAGAACGGAGTCAAAAGGCTGACCGAAAGGCACCTTATTCTTCAAGACTCCGCGTTCTTATTTTGCCCTGTGAAGTTTTGTTTTTCACTGCGAAACAACTCTCAACGCTGCTGCCAAATACTGTTTCCTTCCTTTGAGTTTCAACGCAGAAAATGAGCTTCCACAAACAAAGCCTCTATAGAAATCCTCCAGTTCCACGCAAAACAATTCATGAAAAGAAATCCCTCCCCCTTCAAAACCGTCGGCCACGCGCTCTATTTTGAGAGAACAATGCTATCGAAAACACCCCCCCCGCCATGGCTGAACCTCTTCAGCACAGCTCTGTGCCCACAGCACCCGTTGTTGAGAGGGGCTGCTCGGCACATTCAATAAACCCAAAGTTACGAGATTTTTCAGTCTGGCAGCAAGCAATACGGCTGGGGAAGAGGAATTATAGCTTGCTATCGGAAGATCAAGATTTCTGAAAAAAATAATTAATTTGAAATATGAAAATACCACATCACATACGAAATACCTGCAGATAGTGTAAAAATAAATTGCTCAAAGGGTAAGCAGAATTAAGCCTTGGGTTTGTAACCCTTTTGAACACTATTGCCAATATTTAAAATGCTACATGTATTTCTGTAAATCAGTATCTCACCTTCCTTAACTGGTTTGTCCTGTGAAAACCTGCTTGGAGTTTCTGCCTTCGGTGGCTGCATCACCTCGTACGTCTCTCTGTGTTTATTCCTTAATTCCTCATATGTGACGCCTTTTTTTTTACGACTTTCTTCTGGAATTGGAGCAGGATCTGAAAACAAAACAAACACCAAAAATGGCGTCACGCACACCAGAAGCCGGCTACAACCTGATCCAGAACATCAGCTCATTACAGCTCAATCCCAGCGGGAAGGAGCCTGACAGCGGCCATTCCAAGTGCGACTGCAATGGACGTGGCCTTCCATGAATCCATTCCTTTCTCCTTTGGGTTTCGTCAAACTGCTTCAAATGAGTGACAGCTAACTCCTCTTCTTCTCTGCACCCAACAGAAATCCCAACCGCCACGTGGTGTTGATGGATAAAATCGTTCCGGTCACTTTATGTAAGATTTATGATGATCATACATTTCATAGATGTCTGGTTTCCAAAGAGAAATGTAAGTGAAGCTCAAGGGTTTGCATTCAGGCTTTAAATTCTGCTTTCAAAGAATTCGGACTACACCCATCATGTCTCACCTGACCAACATTTTACCCTTTTCTCTACATTTACAAGGCACAATCTTGGTTTCACAATTACAGTTCTACCAAATATTGATATCTGTGATGAAATGTAATCACAATTCCCTCAGCACATCTACATCTGATACTTTTACATAACGAAAACCGAGTTGCATGAAAGGGCTTTTTTGTGAAATAAAACCTTTTCCAGAAAGGAGTTCAAAAATCCAAGCTAATTCAAAGCACAAAGCTCTGCATTTGACAGCGACTTCCTCCTCTGCACACCAGAGAGACCCAAACTCGGAACCGTGCGTCTCCCCTGCAGCAGCCGAGGACAGAATTCGCACGGGGAGGCTGCGCAGAGCCGGGCTCGCAAACCACGTCGCTTCTCTGCGAGAGACTCAGCTGCTGCCGGGCAGAGCACAACACGCACTCAGCTCTCAGAACAACCACACGCTTGTCAGGTCACGAAGAACAGTTTCAGGTCCCTGAGTTACAGCAGTCGTCGGCCGCAGCACCACTGCCGGCAAAGCTGCAATCAAGGGGCAACGGGCACAAACTGAAGCAGAGGAAGCTCCAGCTGAACATGAGGAAGAACTTCTTCCCTCTGAGGGTGACGGAGCCCTGGCCCAGGCTGCCCAGGGAGGCTGTGGAGTCTCCTTCTCTGGAGATATTCCAGACCCACCTGGACGCGGTGCTGTGCAGCCTGCTGTGGGTGACCCTGCTTGGGCAGGGGGTTGGGCTGGGTGACCCACAGAGGGCCCTGCCAACCCTGAACATTCTGTGATTCTGTGGTTCTGTGAATCTCCTCAGGAAGGCTAGCAGACAAACAGTAGACTACGGGTCATCGAGTGACACAGCCACCTTAATTTCAGTCAAAAGGAGCTCCAAGTCAGGCAGAGTTTTTTGCCGGTTTAGTTTCACAACAGATTAAACCTTGTGAGTTAATTTACAATCTTTACTTGCAATGAGAGCTACAAAACATGAAAAAAAACCCTGAATTTAGTTTACAATTACAGAATCACAGACTGGTCGGGGTTGGCAGGGGCCTCTGTGGGTCACCCACCCCAACCCACTG